TAAAAAGTATAACTGTGTAGGAATGAAATTACTTGAATGGTAAATTGGAGTCTTTGCAATGAAAAATAAATCATGAATGCAGATTGTAGTCACTTTTGAGAATTTAGGTAGACTCCTGGTAGATTGGATGATTGATTCTTATTAATTGCTTACTATACTTATTTTGGTAGTGAGGTACAGTACATTTGTTGCAGAAATTATATGAGTTGAAACTACTTTTTATGAATTCTTCTTACTTTCAATTACTATGTGCCTATAGTGGGACTATTTGTGTATTGAATTAAATGTCTTTATGGAATGGAAATGGGTTATTTAACAGTTTGTATCTTGGTTTGCCAGACTGCCACATGGAAATAATGTTTCTTTCAGCCGGGCATGATGGTGCATGCCTGTAGTCCCAGCACTTGGAAGGCAGAGGCAGGTGTATCTCTGTGAGTTCAAGGCCAGCCTGGTCTACATAGTGAGTTCCAGGCCAGCTGGGGCTACAAGGAGACCCTGTTTCAAAAAGACCAAAAAAACCCCATGTCTTTCATGTCATGAAATAACACATGTTAAAAGCTGGGCATGGTTGTGCATGCCTTTTATCCCAGGCAGATGCAGGCGGATCTCTGTGAGTTGAAGGCCAGCCTGGTCTACATAGTGAGTTCCAGACCAGCTGGGGCTTTAGGGAGACCCTGTCTCAAAAAGACCAAAAAATAAAAATAAAATAAAATAAAAATAACACAGTTAAAGCTATTTAAACTCTTTTGGAATTGTTGACTTCCAGTTCTGACCATGTTGAACTCTCCTTTCATAGTAACCAGTTATAAATTGGAATGGACTCGGTCAAATCTACGCCCACTCCCTTCCCTCCATTGGTTAGCAGAATGCAGAGAACATGTGGTTAGCTCCACTTTCTTCCCTGCTTCTTCTAGTGTGTGCTTTTCAAGCTATGTTATAGATAAGTGGAGTCCAATAGAGAACACTAGACTATCTTAGCAGAGGAGGCAGAGCTCCAAGTTCAGGGATATAGAAGCATCTGAAATTTGTGGTTAGGACATAGAAGATGAGGAGCTTGCATGGAAAAGGGGCCCTGGAAAATTTAATGCAGAGTGCCACTGAGCCTTTCTCAAACACGGAGCTGTGCACAGACCACAAGCAGCCACTCTGGTACTGGGAACTGATTGGAGATTCTGAAAGGTTATAAATGCTTGGGAATGTTGGCCTTCAGATCAGCTGAAAAGATGTGACTTCAGAAAGGTCATACCATAGGAATATGGTCCTTCTAAGCACAGAGTGAAGGTTAATTTTACAGAAGAAAACCCCAAAGTCCTTCTTGATTCAGCCTGATCTACCTATAAACTAATTGACAGATCAAAAGTTTATCTTACTAAACTAAGATAAAGCAATCCAGATTTCCAATAGTGAAGCATCCAGAATATCTATCATACAGTTATTGCACTTGTGAAAAAGTCTGAAAGTGTGACTCATAAGCGGGATAAAAATTAATAAAAATTAGTATTTGAGATGAAAACATCATTATCTGGAAGTAGCAGTGAATTGTGTACTCTAGAAGAATCGATGAACTTGGAGACACAGTGATGTAAACCATCCAAACCAACCACAGTGAGATGATAGACCAAAAAGAAAAGTGAAAGAAGCCACTAGTCTTCTGGGACAATATCATTCAATCTAGCAATTACGTAGTTGTCGTGGTAGAAGAAAAGACAGACTAAGGGAGAAAAATATTAGAAGAAATCATGGCTAAAGAAGTTGAAAAATATAAACCCAAAGGTGCAAGAAGTTCCGTAAACTGCAAACAAAATCAACAAGAAGAAAGTGAGTGCCTGGACAGTTGTACCATTGTCAGTGTGTCTAAGATGGAAGGAAAGTCACAGAGCTATTCAGAGGAGGAAAGCGTGTATCACCTACAGGGAAGACCCTGATAAAATTATTACTGACTTCTCATCAGAAACAATATAAGCCAGAAATCAGTGGGTTATCATCTTGAAAGTGCCAGGAAAAAAAAAAAATGTCAATCTAGAATGTTTTTTTCAACTGAAAATATCCTTTGGAATGAAGATAAACTAAAGACATTTTCAAATGAATTGAAGCTGAAAGGACTTGTCCCTACTACACCAGCATTTAAGAAATGTAGAAAGTTTTTTCGAGTCACCTTTCTGTGTGCCTCCTGGACACAAACCAGCTCTGGAGTGGAATTTTTAAGCTGAAGGAAAGTGGTACCAGATGGCAACACATGTCTACAGGAAAAAATGACATGGGCAAAAGTGAAATACTACTTTTCTTATTTTTACTTCATTTTTCTTAATGGGCTTTCTTCATTTATGTTTAAAGCAAAACCATTAACATATGTTAGTTTTATAGCATATATGAAGGTAAAATATATGACAATAATTGCACAAAGAATGTATGTCTGATAAACAGGTCTGTATTGGTAAGTTTCTTACACTACATGTGAAGAGGTATAATGGTTAGAATAAACTATGATAAATTCAGAATGCACAATTTAATCCCAAGAGCACTGTAACAAAATAGACGTATGACTAAAAATCTAGCCAGGAGATAAAACAGAAAATAATTATTAATCACAATGAAAGCAGGAAAGGAAGAAAAAAGAATGAAGAAGAGAGAAAAGATAAAATACCAAACAAAGGTGTTATGTCTAGAATACAAATAGTAAGTTAGACTTAAACCAGGTATATAATTACACTAAATATAAATGATTCAACATCTAGATTAAACAGCAGAGATCATACCAGATTAAAGACAAGACTTACACATGCAATTATCAATGGATGTGTTTATTTTATTTTTATTTATTTTTGAATTAAAAAAAATTTTACCTTATGTGTATAAATGTTATGCCTGTATGGTGTGTCATGCACT